AATTCTATCTTCCACCAGTTATACCATTCATTACCCATAACTTTTTATATTCTATTTCTGCAAATGCGTAATCTTCTACAAGCGTCATCTTATACGTCCTCATATTTCTTGTTATTAACACATCATCTCTCCGTCAACCAGAGAAGCCTCAGTGGCAGGAAACTGACGTAAAAAATACTGGATTTATCCGATTTTTGGTTAACTTTATACAGAGTATAGCATACTATGAACCATGACGACTGCAAATTTACAGTTTCCAAATCGAAAAGAAATTGACCGACTTATAACTGGTCACATCATCAGCAGAAATCCCATAGTTAAAGTCAATACTTCTTATGACGTAACGGACGGGACCTCCACGTGAGCATTTTTGTTCTTCGCCCATGGTTGCATCTACTTTTCAGACCAGAGACCAACAGATCTTCATCAGATGGCTCGCCTCACTGATCGTAACTCGCACTTTTCTGATCTTTGGCATGCTATCATCAATAACCACTATTTCTTCGATTTCCTGCATGTTCGAGGTTCCGAGATGTTCGACTTTCAATGTAATGTTCTGAATGTAATGACAGTGGAATTCTTGACAACCCTTGTTGAAGCAAATCTATTTATCAAACCCAAAGATGCTATGATGGCACTCAAAAATACGGTTTGGTGCTGACAGGGACGATAGTAATAATAGTAATAGCCTTCCGCCAGATCAGCAAGTCAAGAACAAGGTCTCTAACCTCAAACAGAGAATGAAAAAAGGTCACATAGAGAAAGGTCACATAATTTCATTTGAGAATCAAGAAAGGTATAACCAATTCGTTATGACCGTTTCTGGTAAAGCGTTGCAGTCACTCCGAAACCCCGTGTCTCTTTGACTGCTCATAACTCCCGACTGAAGTACATTACCATCATACGGATTTCATATTTGGATACAGTAAACTTAGATTTTCCAAAGGTTATGCAACACTTTCAAGAAATAATTATTGTAATTTTTTGTTCCCTGCTTTACCACCCCAGAAAAATACTACGTCGCTTCTAGTTGAGAGAAAGATCCTGTGTTAATAATCGGACATCCAACTACGTCGCTTCTAGTTGAGAGAAAGATCCTGTGTTAATAATCGGACATCCAACTACGTCGCTTCTAGTTGAGAGAAAGATCCTGTGTTAATAATCGGATATCCAACTACGTCGCTTCTAGTTGAGAGAAAGATCCTGTGTTAATAATCGGATATCCAACTACGTCGCTTCTAGTTGAGAGAAAGATCCTGTGTTAATAATCAGATATTCATTTGAAATCTTACTTTCTTTCTGATGAAACTCTATATTAGAATAATCTAGAATTAAGTATCAGATAGACACATAGCCTGACAGACCATAAGTTGACACAGAATAAATTCGTAATATTCATAACTGTTACGGTTCTTAAGAATAGATGTGGATAAAACGTACATCAAGATAAACTATTATGGTATAAAAACAAAGCAAAAATATTTTCTTGCTGCATCAAAATATAACCATATATAACTTGGAGCACATAAAATTGTCAGAAGGTTACAAAAAGTTGTTGTTACGTCATAGAAACAGCGAAAATTTATGCTTTATTTCTTGAGAAATAACACCATTTATCACTGTAAAAAATATCTGTTTTATATTACCAGTGGTCCCTTAGGGGTTCAGTACTATCTACGCTGTGCATATCGAACCCCGATATGTAGCGTTATAAGCTCACAAGTTTACCGATGAACCACCAGAAGGCTCTTAGTCTGTTAGAAGAAATAATTTAATAGTTGAATTTCTTCTACAGCAGGGTCGAAATTTAATCCCGAAATGTACATGAAAAGCTCAGCTAAAATATGTACTTTATTATACATTTTAAAACAATTGTTTTAAAGATATTCTAACCATTACAAATTCATTTATCACAGAACTAATAATAAAAAAACTGATGCGATCAGATACATAGATAGGTAGAGAGAGAGAAATATATTTATTGCTACCAAATGGTATTTTACGTATTAATATTGATTTTATCTGTTGTAAGATCTGTAGAAAACGTTGTCGTGAAAAGTATTGATGAATATCAAGATGTACATAATGGGAGAGGCACGGTCTGGTGGTTAGGGCGTGCGACTCGGAATCTGCGGGTCGTGAGTTCGAATCCTCATCTCAACAAAATATGCTCGCTCTTTCAGCCTTGGGGTCGTTATAAAGTGAGGGTCAATCTCACTATTCGTCGGTAAAAGAGTAGTCCAAGATTTGGCAGTGGGTGGTGATGACTTACTGTCTTCCCTCTAGTCTTTCACTGCTAAATTAGAGACGGTTAACCCAGATGGCCCTCGTGTAACTTTGCGCAAAATTCAAACCAAACCACAATGGGAGCATCAAAGCATAAGTGTAAATTATTGTTTACAATCTAACAGACATGTTTTATTCTTAGAATTTAATTTTCAAAGATAAATCAGTACAAATAAAACACTTAAATTATTTTCAATGCCGGCATGAGTTTGTACAACGTGTTTAAACATTGTGAAATTTGTTAGAAGGTTACAAAAAATTGTTGTTACGTCATAGAAACCGCGAATATTTGTGCCTGAATAAGGACTAAGTAATGGTAATAAAAAGCCGTAATAAATGGTATATATATATATATATATGTATATTAATTCTAGCACTCTATTGTAATCAGATGAGCCCAAAAGTTTGACTATATTAAACGTCATTAGTTGTAGTTGCATCTCGACCAATGAGAAAGAAGTATTCTTGCTACAGAGAGGAAGCGTGTAGTACCTGTACCCGAAAGAACTGGTTGTGCATGTGAATTGTGAAACTCGAGTTAGTGGGTCAGATTCGCTGAGAAATAGTTGGGTTTAATTTTCCTATAGAAAACAGTGGATTTTTCGTTTATATTTCTGAACAGCCATGAGCCTGATGATGTATATATTGTAAGTAACTTGTTTTATATTTCTTCTAGTTATGGGATTATCTGGGCTTTTATTTTTAGGGGGGGGGCTATGTCGGAAATTATTATTTTAAGGTTGACCCTTGTCACATTACTGTAACATTATTGTCATTGTGATTTAAACAAAAGTTAGAAACGTGAAACACACTATCACTTATTTTTTAGTTACTTTTATTTTGTAATTAAATTTCTGGAATTTGAAATATTTTGATTTGTGCACAATTTATCCTAAAAAAATAACACTAATCACACACAAGTCACTCTTAGTTCACGTATCAATTTACTTGAACGGCGGGCTCGATGGTTCAGCTAGTTTTATATTAGTTGGCTGCCATTATCACCACTGTTGTAGTGTTATAATTTTATAAACCTGTACCTACTCATCTGTTACTCTTGTTGTGTTATTAAGCTGTGTCCTAATCACCTGCTACTGTTGTAACTTGTAGTGTTATAAACCTGCACCTACTCTTCTGTTACTCTTGTTGTGGTAGTAAGCTGTGCCATAATCTTCTGTTACTGTTTGTGTTATAAACCATCACATATTAGTTTGTTATTCTTGTTGTGTTAAGCTGTGCCATAATCTTCTGTTGTATTGTTATAAACCTGAACCTTTTCTTTTGTCACCGTTGTTGTCTCATTAGGTTGTGCCATAATCTTTTGTTACTGTTTGTGTTATAAACCATCACATATTCGTTTGTTATTCTTGTTGTGTTAAGCTGTGCCATAATCTTCTGTTGTATTGTTATAAACCTGAACCTTTTCTTTTGTCTCTGTTGTTGTCTCATTACGTTGTGCCATAATCTTCTGTTACTGTTTGTGTTATAAACCATCACATATTCGTTTGTTATTCTTGTTGTGTTAAGCTGTGCCATAATCTTCTGTTACTGTTATAAACCCACAAATACTCTTTTATTGCTCTTATGGTGTTATAAGGTTTGACCCTTGAACTAACTTTTACTAACAAGTAAATTTCCTTTATAAAAACATTTTTTCTTCATCCAAAGTACTTTACATAGTTTCCTATTGTCTTTCATTTTACCAGTTCTGTGAGATATGCAAACAACAACACCAAAAATCCATATTTTTTAAAAAAATATGTAAATACCTGTATAGGGTGAAAGCTAGTCAAGGACAGATTTGGTTGCATTATTTCCACGGTTCACGCACCTCGCTTGTGACGTAATACTGGAATACAAAAGGATTTTCTAGTCTGCTATATTGGCTACTTGCATCAGGTTATTCAACCTGCAGACTGTAGATTTGAAACTTGTTTATTATAATTAGAACGAACGCCTTTCCATGTTGTGATTCACAAAGAGAACGAATCGAAAGATATTGTAGTGAATTTGTACTTCTACGGAATTTCTCCAGGTCTAACCAGTTGTGTAATATTATTTCTTCGTTAGCTTTAGAGTAAATATTAAAGAATCACTCCTTGTTAATTGTGATGCAGAAGGATTTGGTGAAATGTAATTCATTTGGTAAAATTTCTCAACGTTCAGATTAGATGTTTTCTGAAAGCTGCGTTCAAGTAGCCAAATTACCGTATTTTTCGGAATATAAGACGCACCCTTATTTTGAAGACAAAGTTTTGGTGAAAAAAAGCTACAGTCGCATATGAAAGATTTTTATTG